ATGGTACTGGTCATCTGATGATTTCTGTGTCCCTGCCAATTAAGTTCCTGACATGTATAGAGAGAGGTGGACACAGCCATAGATACCCCTTCATTTGGCATGATTGATTCCCTGGTGTCCAGACTGGAGAAGCCTCTGATAATGAATAACAGGCATCCCTACATTTGCTTTTCTGTCTCCATGTAGACATAGATACCTCTGCCTTCCTGGGGCTTTTTGTTCTCCAGGTTCTGAGGTCTCTGAAAATTATACAGTAGCCCAGGATCACAGTCTGAGCGCTGACTGGTTAATTATACAGTCTTAGAGTATCCATACAACATTGCCCTTGATAAGTAAAAAGTGGCCACAGTCTGATGCCCTTGGAATTCACTTGATTTATCAGGAATTATGTTATTTGGCAGCAAGTAATTTTATAGAACAATGGAACTGATGACCCAGCTATGTCAGGTTGGGGTGCTGCCTTACAGAGTATGATATAGACTTTAAATCAGTTAGATGACATATAAATGTGTGAACACACACACACCACACACACACACAATATGTGTATATATTTAGATGGTGTCTTCCTATGTTGCCCAGGCTGGCCCCAAACTCCTGGGCTCAAGCAATCCTCTTGCCTCAGCATCCTGAATAGCTGGGACTACCTGCATGTGCAATCATGCTTGTCTTCGATCTATAATTCTTTGTGTTTTATATCAAGAATATATGTGAAGAGTTAGAGGTGGGTGAGGCACCTTAGGTGATTACACCTAAGTTCTCCAAGAGTTTGCTTCCTGTCTCTGAGATTCTAGGTTCTATAGGTCAGGAGATTTTAGCATCAAAGAAGGGATGTTTCTAACCAGGAACAGAAAGATGATTCCATTGCATTTCAGGCTCCTTACAGCACTAGAGGAGTAGAAGAAAGGGGGAATCACAGGGAGACTGAACTGATAATGGCTGTCAAGGGGAAATGGAGTAGGTACTATTTACGAGGGCTGAGAGATGCATGAGTGGAACCTAGGTTTTGTTTATGTTCTACAGAATTAACAAGTTCATTTTTGGACAGGGCCAGAAGGGACCTGTCAACAACCCGGCTTCTTCTGATTGTCAATGAGAGAAATTGCAGTCAAGTTAGGTTTGGAAAAATAAGAGCCTCTTGGGAAGGTATCAAAACTATAAACGGATTGGGACGTTAGCAGGACTTCTATCTTTCATTTCTGCTTCTGTGTGTCAGCATCTCCTATAGACTGCCTTCTTTCACATGGTGGGGAATATGACTGCTGCAGCCCTAGGCTTCCATCTTCCCTGCTTCATCTCCCTTTACATTTCATTTCAGAAAGTCTCAGAAGAGAACTCTGGCACACCTGGAGGGGTTTCTATCCTTGGACTCAGCAGGCCCTTGAATCATGCATGGTTAAAGCAGAAAGAGACAGAGCCTGAAGGTACACCAGTTAGATGACTTTATGGCTCTSTGGTGTGGGGAGACTTACATAATCCTAAACACCAAAGCTCAGAATGTTAAGAATGAGGATTTGGGTGAAGTCAAGGGACTTCAGCAGAAAGTAAAAGGGGAAGACTAGGTAGACCTCAGGACCTGGTGTAGAAATGGGGCTGAGGACACTATCTGTATTTTCCCAGCTTGGGGAAGGGGAGTGACCTAAGTTTGAATGACTTTTACTTCTAACTTTTCTTTTTTATTTCCAATTTGCATTTTTTTCTTCTTTTTTTAGTACTGGGGCTTGAACCCAGTGTATATGTGTGGGGGAGGGGGCGCTCTACCACTGATCTACATCTCCAACCCTTTTCAATTTTGAGACAGGGTTTCACTAAGTAGCTGAGGCTGGCCTGGCCCTGTGATCCTCCTACCTCAACCTCCAGAGTTGCTGGGATTATAGGTGTGTGCCACTGCCCCTGGCTCCTGTTCGCTTCTAGAATAGAAGTTGTCGTAATCATATTTTTTTCTTTTTCTTTTTTTTTAATGGGGGAGGGGAGTTTACCAGGGATTGAATTTAGGGGCACTTGACTGCTGAGCCACAACCCAAGCCCAAAGCACTGAGTTGCTTAGTGCCTCACTTTTTGCTGAGGCTGGCTTTGAACTCACAATCCTCCTGTTTCAGCCTCCGGAATCCCTGGGATTACAGGAGTGTGCCACTGCACCCAGCTTTTCTTTCTCTTTTCTTTTCTAATGTAAGATTTGGGGGCTGGGGTTCTGGCTCAGTGGTAGAGCGCTTGCCTAGCATGTKCGAGGCGCTGAGTTCGATTCTCAGCACCACATATAAATAAATGAATAAAATAAAGATCCATCAACATCTAAAAAAATTGAAAAAAAGATTTGGTGTGTGTGTGTTGGGGGGGTGTTTGTGGGGTGTGTGTGTGTGCAGTGCTGGGGATGATCTAGGGCCTGGTGAGCGCTAGGCAAGCACTTCATCACTGAGCTACACCCCAGCCTTTTTAGTGTGCCATTTAGTTTCTAGATTGCAGAATGATGAGTTATAATCAAGTTGGAACCTAAGGAAGATGCCGCATATCATTAGGGTCARCAGTTATCTTATCTGATTGCAAACTGGGCCCCCAACCTCTATACGTTTCTCTCAAGAAGGAAGGGGGCGGGGAGGAAGCTTCAATAAGTAGAACTGAGAAGGATCCATTGGAGTTGGGATCCCGGCAWCCTTCTTATCCAGTTCCCTCTCACTAGGGCGGCAGCACAGAAGTCCACTGCGCAGGCTCCACGGAGGAGGGGCTCTCCCCTGAGGAGCTGCAGCGTGCTCGTGCCCTGAGCCACACCGGATGGTCTGTTTTCTCTTACAACATAACTTTCATTAAACGAATTTAGTCAAATAAGCACATCATGGATGTATAATTCCAAATTGTGATAAACAAGCTGTGAAGGAAAGGAACAAAAGTGCTCTGAGATAGTGTAAAAGGGGGAATGCATCTGATCTAGAGAATTTGTGAAAAAAAGACCTGAAATATGAGTACATCGAGAGGGGGAGAGAATTTTAGGCAGAAGATGGGTGTGTGCAAAAGACACCGAATGTCAAAAAGCAGCGTAAGACCCCACTAGAGGGGACGGCAGACCCAGAAGCTGCAGCCTTTTAGGATTTCTCCTGCAATGGGGAAGGCTTTGAAGGTTTTTAAGAAGGATGATGGTGCATGATCAGGTTTTCAGCTCGGAAATGWCGCTGTGCCTGCAAGTGAAGCGGCAGACCGATCGCAGGGGCCAGGCGAGTGCATCTAGGAGATGACATCCGACCTGGAAGGCCTGGGTCCAGCATCCGGAGGTGGGGGCGGCGGTTCCTGCGCGGAGAACCGAACTGGCCCACGTGGGCCGCCCCGCCCCACCCCGCTGCGCAGACGCCGCCAGACTCCGCAGTACCCGCCCGAGGCTGGGCGCGTAGCTTGGTGACCCCCACGTTCACCCGGGCGGCGTGGACGCCGCGGCCCAGGGACCCCCGGCCCACAGTGACGAGTTCCCAGCGAGCTAGGTCAGACGGAACCAGCGCCAGCCCCGCGGAGAAGGCGCCTCTAGGCCGTGAGTCTGGGCCCAGATGGAAGGCTTGGGGCCCAGCCGCGGGAGTGCGGGGCGGGAGTCGCAGCCTCAGCCCAGCTGTCTTCTGCCTCCTAGGGGAGACTCCATCTCCTGCAGGGAGGCCACCAGTCCCCATTTTACAGCAAACTGCAGATGAATTGGGGGAGATCTTGATCCTGGGATGTCTGGGTTCTCATTTTACCATCTCTGACAACCGGGGGCCCCTAACCCCACCCGACCCCATCACAGCTTCCTTCGTGGCCCCGCCCAAGTTTAGGGAAGAGGGAAGATCTCTAGGCACCCTCCCACAAGCCAGAGGGATGGTGGTAAGCGGTTTACAAAGGCCTTACACTTTCCCTCAGGAACTTCTACCCACTATTGGATGTGGTGAGGGTCCCTGCCACCTATAGAGGTCCTTCTAGTGACTGTTCCACTTAATAGTACCTCCAACTTTGTGTGTATGTGTGGGTGGGTGCTGAGGATTGAACTCAGGTGCTCTACCACAAAGCTACATCGCTAGTCCTTTTTATTTTTTTTATTTATTTATTTTGAGACAGTATCTCCCTAAATTACCCAGGCTGACTTCGGATTTGTGATCCTCCTGCCTCAGTCTTCCTAGTCACTGGGATTACAGGCTCGCAAAACCATACCTGGCTCCCTCGCCCTTAATGATCATCGATTCTTCTAATCCTAGCAATGTGTGGTCAGTAGAAACCTTTTGTCAATTCAACCCTCTCATTTGGTGGAAAATGGTTTTTAGGGAAGAAAGAGTGGTGTGGTATGCCCTCTCTCCAGGGCCTTGGTGGAGCAAGATGGGCGCAGAGACATAATATAGAAAACATGTACCCAGGGGGCTGGGGATATGACTCAGTGGGTAGAGTGCTTGCCTTGCATGCACAAGGCCCTGGGTTCAATCCCCAGCACCACACACACACAMAAAAAAAAAAAAAAAAAAAAAGAGAGAGAGAGAGAGAGAAAGAAAGCATGTACCCAGGACACCGGGAGAAAAGGAGCAAGCTCAAAAGAGAGGTTTATCAGAGAGAGAAGTGGGGGATAGTTGCTCTAGGGCAGAAGAGGGAACTAAAGCCAGCTGTTGCAGCCCTGGGCCCACTGCAGTAGCCCCTGTTACCCTTGGCTCCTTCCTGAGTACCAAAATCCCACTGCAGCCCCCTCTCCCATTTACTGGCTCAGAAGTATGTGCTGACACCTGCAAGAGCCAGGCTCTATGCTGACTCCTGGGAATATGAGGTAGGATACATAAAGAAGGTTCAGGTTTAGTCAGGGAGCCAGATTATAAACTACTGTTACAAAATTATTCAAGTAAATAAACAATTCCAGTTGAATAGACAATTACTGACCATAAACCATATGTGCCAGGGATAGGAAATAAGACAGTGTGAATCCAGAGTAGTAGGAGCCAGAGGAAGACATAATTCAYCATTTTGTGTATATTGGGGCAGTGGGGAGAAGATCAGAAAGGCTTCAGAGAGGTAGAGATACAAAAGCCTGGTTTTAAAGTACAAAAAGGAATTTACTGGGAGGAAAAGGAGGAGCTTAGTGGGGAGGGGCAAGGCAGGATATTGTAGGCTAGAGGACTAGTGTGAGGAAACTAATGGTGTGTTTTGAGATCTCTGGGCAGTTTGGTGTGATGAGAGGAGCAGAGTGATAAGAGGCAAGTACTGATGGGTTCTCATGGGCCAGATCAAACAGGGCCTGGTAGGTCACATAGAGGGTTAACAGGAGTTTAGGGATGGCGCTCATTGCTGTGAGTGTACCCCCACACACATGGAATTCACACTTTTTAACTGGAGGTAAATCAATGAAAAAACTGTGGCAATAATCCAGGTAAGAAATGGTGTGAACCAAGTGGTAGTTAGGAGGAAGAATTGTCACAATTTGGTGACCAATGAGATGGGGCAAGGAAGGAGAATGAGTAGCCCAGGATGCTCCTAATCTTCTAGCTAGAATGACTGATTAGAGAGTGGAGCCATCTAGCTGAGGACACTCAGCCAGAGGGAGGACTGGTTTGGACATAGAGAATATGAGGAGCCTGTGGTCRGTTCAGAGAGGATAGCAATTGGATCTAGGCTGAATACAGAATTAAGAGTCACCAACATACAGCAGMGAATGGGGTCATCTGGGGAGAAGTGTGCAGAATGAGAAGGAACTTGCTTCAGAGGACTGAGGAAAACCCCATGTGGTAGACGGAGGATAAATGGAGAGACAGAGAGGAAGAAAACCTTGAAGGGAAGTGTTGCTAGCAGGGTCAAGGGAAGGGACTGAACTGTAGCTAAGTTGCCATGATCTCAGGCCACCCCACCCTGACCTGCTGTCGCTCATTCTTCTGCTTCCCCTTCACAGACCAGATGTTCGCCATCCAGCCAGGGCTAGCCGAAGGGGACCAGTTCTTGGGGGGCCTGTCTCCTGGAGTATGTCAGCCCAAGCTCCAGCCAGACAGCAACTCCAACTTCTTGGAGAGTGCCAGGGATGCCAATGAGAATTGGCATGGGATGCCAAGCAAACTGGATCCCATCCTGACAAGGAACGCCTCTGAGCTGCCTTCTGACAACCAGGCCTTCCAGGCTTCTGGACTCCCTGAGGAAGGGATTCGTAGCCCCCCAGAAGGTGCAGAAATTCCTGGTGCTGAGCCTGAAAAGAGAGGTGGTGCCAGCACTGTCTGCTCTCCTCTGGAGGACAATGGCTATGCCAGCAGCTCCTTGAGCATTGACAGTCCTAGCAGCAGTCCTGAGCCTGCCTGTGGGACCCCTCGAGGTCCTGGCCCTCCAGATTCCCTTCTGCCCTCCGTGGCCCAGGCTGTGCAGCAGCTGCAGGCTCAGGAGCGCTACAAAGAGCAGGAGAAGGAGAAGCATCATGTACACTTGGTGATGTACCGTCGCCTGGCACTGCTCCAGTGGATCCGGGGTCTGCAGCACCAGTTGGTTGACCAGCAGGCACGTCTGCAGGAGAGCTTCGACACCATCCTAGACAACCGAAAGGAGCTGATCCGCTGTCTCCAGCAGAGGGCAGCACCATCCAGATCCCAGGACCAGGGCTAAGGGTGTGCCTACATAAGTGTGCAAAAGCATAAGTGTATGTATGTAGGCATGTATGTGGTTGTGCACAAATAAGTACACGATTTTTTGTTGGCATGAATTCAGGAAAGCATGAGTGTATATGTGCTAACATGCAGGCAGGTGTGTATAGGCACATGTGAATGAACTTAAGTGCACTGTATGTGCACTTGTGTACATACAAGCTAACATATGTATGAGTGAATAAGAGTGAATGCGTATGTATAGCACGTATGTAACAGTAAATTTATATATGCATGTATGGACGGGTACCCAGGAATGTATATGTGCATGAGGGAGGATGTACATGCAAAAGATATGTATGCATATACATGAGTTTGTGTGTGTAGGCTTATGCTGTGTATGTGAGTGAATCCTTGTTTGTTCAGGACTGTGAAGGGGTGCATGTGTKCAGGTGCGGGCATGAGAAGTGTCTGTTGGAGACATGTATTTGCAGACGGATTCATGAGCACATGTGTGCAAATATATATTCAGTTGCACCTGTAGGGCATCTACCCATGCTGTCACCCATGGTCTACCCTGGATTTTTTTCTCTACTGAGTTCCACTGCTTCCTAGAGAGAATGGGCTAGCTTACTGTCATTTACCTGAGGAGTGTGACTGACACATTCTCTTGGGGCTTCCCAGGCCACCTTTCTTTTTCCTATTCCCTCACTTAACCCAGACCTTGCTCTGATAAGGCTGTTGTCCCTGGTTTTGGCTTTAATTCTGGCCCATCATGGCACTTTGGCTGCAGTTTTGTTGGGGCAGTTGGTGAAGAGTGGATATTGGAGGGAACTGGAGAATTATGGCAGGGGTGAAAGTGAGGACAGAGAATGAGATGGGGGACTGTCCCTCTTGAACTCTGACTTTGACCATATGGGAAATGGGGGTGGGGGGATGACAGTGGCAGAAGTCTGAAGAATAGGAGAATGGGTATTATAAAATACCAGTTTCCAAACAACCATACCTCTCCCCTGGAAAAGGAGCTGTTGAAAACTACATTATTTTAAGCTTCTGATGAAAAGGATTGTGTGCTTATAAGCGTACAAGTAACAGGCAAGGTGTTCCAGGGCCATTAGGGAAAATCTCACTTCCCTCTCTGAGCCTCTACCTTGCCATGCCTTTCTGGTTTAGAGCATTGGATGTATGATTGATTTGGTCCATTTCTCTGAAATCAGTTTGCTCAGCTTTCCAGGTACACAGGGGACAGTGTCAGCCTCACCTCCAGAAGCTCTTAGGATGTTGGATCATACCCCTTTCTGTCACTATATAACCCTTTAAACAGAGATTGATAGGCTCCATGGAGCTCCAAATGCTTCATGAGTTGGAGAGCTGCTGAGTCTTGAGAACCAACAACTGAGGTAGCAGAGCTCTCTGCTTTGCTTCTGGGAGCCAAGAGTGCAACATCATGGTGAGCAGTGGCACAAAGAGGGAACACAGGCAGGCGAGTAGAAGCAAGGAAGTCACTGCTACTGCCTCTGTCCTCAGTCTCCCCACCTACAAAACATGGGAACATTTTTAGTTTGTCTCTAAAGAGCTCCATCTCTTATGGGTGGTGAAAGATATAGGGGGTAGGCGTGAGATGTGGATCCTGGGGGCTTTCCTCTCTGTAGAGCTTGCATGTTGAATGTGAACTTGGTCTCTGGACAAACACAGGAAGAATAAATTGAAGCAGAGAATTAAAAATTTATTTGARTATGTGTTTCTATTCCACCTGTTGCCTGGTACCCTCTTCCACAGTCTGAGGTCATCTTTTGAACAAAGTCCTTGGTTAGAAACCAAGCAGAGAAGTTGGGGAAATACCAAAGAGGAGGAATTCAGACTCCTGTGTCTWGCAATTTTAGGGGCTTCACAGTCTTGATGGAGGAGACTTGGTCTCTCCCCTGAAAACTCCATTTAGGACTGTCCTTGTCCTTTGGACCTGAATGGATTGTGAGAGACCACATACCATGTACACACTCACATATTCTACCTTGGAGTCACCACTGCTGTGGAGTAAAATACTGAGTGAAGATCCTTAGATGGTTCTGAGGAGTATGCAGTTATATTTCATTTTATTGGTGTTGGAAGTTGAACCCAGGGCTTGTGCAGGCTAGGCAAGTGCTGTACCAYTGAGCTATACCTAGTCCCCAGATGTAATTGTAATGCATGCAATTGAGTTCAGATATTAGTTGATAACAATTTAGATTTTATCTTCTACTCTAGAGTAGTTTGCATGACGGTTTATTCTAAAGATTTCAAGGGTTTGGGATTTTTAAAATATTTCATGTTTGGACACAATGCCTTTATTTTTTATTTTTATGTGGTGCTGAGGATCGAACCCAGTGCCCCACACATGCCAGGCAAGTGCTGTACCACTGAGCCATAACCCCAGCCCCATGGGGGTTCAGGATTTAACTCAGTGGTAAAGCATTGGCCTAGCCTTCACAAGACCTGGGATTCCATCCCCAGGACTGTGTGTGTGAGTGCTGGGCCCAGTTTCCAAGTCTGATATCCCCCAAGTCTGGGGTTCRAGCCCCTGATCCTCCTGGGTCCAGCAGTCACTATAGCTGGCCTGGCCTTTCCTCTCCAAAATACATTATTTTTATAAGTAAGGTATATTAATTTTCTACTGCTGCATAATGAATTGCCCTAAAATTTATTGGTTTAAATCAGTACACATTTTTTTATATCTTTTTGTAAGTCAAGAATCTGGTTATAGCTTAGCTGGATTTTATGTGTCAATCTTTTTTTTTTTTTTTTTAATGTTTTCTTAGTTGTAGATGGACACAATACCTTTATTTTATTTATTTATTTTTATGTGGTGCTGAGGATCAAACCCAGTGCCTCACACATGCCAGGCAAGTGCTCTGCCACTGAGCCACAACCCCAGCCCTTATGTATCAATCTCTTGATTAAGGCATTAGGTCCTGGGCCTATGATGATTTAATTTGTTGGTACCATTCAGTTCCTTTCAGGCTGTTGGGCTAGAGGCCACTTTCAGTTGCTTCTCATGTGAATGGCATTTCAAACACAGCAGCTTATTTTATCAGAGCATGCAAACCAAGAAAGCAATAAAGTGCTAGCAAGTCACAATTTTCTGAAACCTAGCCTCAGAATTGATATCCCCTCAATGTTGCCATATTCTATGGTAGAAGCAAATTACTCAAGGGGAGGATATTACATAAGGCTATAAATACCAGGAGACAGGGTTCATTCAGGGCCATCTTAGAGTTTGTCTATAGTTATTATTTTTTCTTTTTCTTTCTTGTAGTAGGGATTGAACCCAGGTCCTTGCACATGCTAGGCAAGCACTCCACACTGARCTACATCCCCAGCCCCTTTTAAATTTTATTTGAGACAGGTCTTGCTAAGTTGCCCAGTTTAACCTTGAACTTGCAAATCTCTTGCCCCATCAAGTTTGGTCAGAGGGAATGGGTTAAAGCCTTAAAGCCTGGAGTGCAAGGAGGCAGGAAATGAACTGGGAACTGAGGAAGAGTGCAAAGAGTGTGATAATGGTAGGTGGTTTCTCTAGTCCCAGGTCTGGCATTTTAGGGTTCTATGTAGTGGCTCTCCTTAAGCAGATTGAATGCCACCTATTGGTAGTCTGTGACCTTTCTACCTGCCTGTTTCCTTCAAGCCTCATTCAAAACTCAAGTGTGTTAGTATCTGAACATAGTAGCAGGAAAAGGTCACAGGAACAGGAAGCAGAGCTGAGAAAACCAGCAGAAGTCCAGGCAGCAGAGAATAGTAATTTCTTGTATAGACTGGACCCAGATGTCCTGGATCCTCCACTTCCTAGCTGTGCCTCACTTTCCTTAGCCTGTAAAATGGGAGGCAATCATAGTACTAATCTCGTAGTTATGTAAGAGGTGAGTGACTGTAGAGAGCTCAGACCTGAATCTGGCACATACGAAGTAGTCCATAAATGTGAGCTGTTATTATCTGACTAGGAGAGGACAGGAATACCCTCAGAGGTAGGAGATGCAGCTGAGCGGGTTGTGCTGTATATTAAAAAGCTTTGCTGAAGGGCACCCATGAGTTTAATGGATGATGGTGGTGAAAAGAGCAGAATGAGATGGGCATCTTCTGGGATCTGAGCCAGAACTCAAATCCACACATGCCCACACCCATCAGGCACCCAGTTACTCAGGAACCAGACTCCAAACTGCCCGTGCATGCAACTACGAACGCACCATCGCTCACACTCACAAATGCACACTCACACAGACCATGCACTCCCCACCCTCCAGTCTCAGAAATAAGACTACGGACTGTCAGAAGTGAGTCCGCTCTTCCTCTCGGGTCTGTGGGCATTTCCAGGCGAAACTTGCCCAGATTCTCCCGCCGCCGGCACCCCTGCTCCTCGCCCCAACGCGGAGGCTCCAAACCCGTCGATGTCCTAAAAGGGTTCCATTCTCATTTATCACCAAATAGATTTGAGGAGACATTCGTTTGGTTGAGCGACTGGCAAGCAGGGGGACAGGGGTGGCGGGGAGAAAGGCCAGGGGCGGAGAGTTTTGTGGTGCTAAAGTCTCAGATGTCAGAGGCTGGGAAGGGGCTGGTCCCCCGGGTCCTCCCACACATTGGGGATGAAAGAGGGCTCGGGCTTTGAGGTGGGGACTCGGGCGTGGCGGGGGCGCGAGGGGGAGCTCCAGGGCTCCGCGCGAGGGACTAGGGAGAGGGCCCGGGCGACGCTCAGCTGGTGTTCAGTGGTTCTGGGGGGGGGGGCTCGTCCCCCAAAAGCGAAGACAAAGGGGCGGCCTCCCCGGAGCCCAGCGGCACAAAGCGGGGACCCGGCGGGGCGGAGCCCGCCCACTGGCCGCCCGCACCCGACCGCTGATCCGCGAGATCCCGAGCGCCGTTCCCGGCGCCTAATCCCAACAAGCATGAAAACGGCTCGGCCGGCCCGCCAGCAGGCCCTTTGTCCGGACCCCTCGCGGGACAGCTGCAGCCGGGTCCCCTCCCTCTTTTGTGTCTCCTCCTCGCCGCCTGCTCCGCCCTCCTCACCTCAGCTGCCTGCGAGGCCGCGAACCGTCCCGGGCTTTCGCCTCCCACCCTCGGGCGCACAAAGAGGGGCAGCGTCCCTCATCTGGGGGAGGGAGGATTAACCTCGGGGTCTGCGGGAGGGCTGGGGCCGCCGAGGGAAGAGGAGAGGGCTGCGGGTGCGCCTTCCTCTGGAGCGTAGGGGTGCGGGGTGATGTGGGCCTGCAAGTGGGAACATCGACGTGGGACTGGATCGTGGGTGCGTGCGGTGCACAGGGAGCGAGTCAGAGGGCTGGAGGGGACCCAGCATTCAGTAGCAGCTCTCAGGAGCAGGAAGTCTCCCTAGACGGTGATGCACCCCTGGACTGTTGTCCAGACCTCTCGGTGGCCTCTCCCAAACCTCTGGCTCCAGCAGGGCCTCTGCCCCTACCCCACCTGCATGTCYACCTGTGCACTGGGCACCTCCATCCAGCTGACTCACCGGCAGCTCAGAATTCCCAGGCCTGAAAAGGAGCTCATTTCCTCCCCAAGTACAAAGCCACTCAGGTCACGCCAGTCACTTGGGTGAGATGGGCCTCAGGCYCTCTTTCCTTACTCCTCATGCCAACCAGACACTAGGTCCTGTCCCTACCACCTCCCAGCACATCTGCAGTCCATGCCCTCCTCTGTGGTCCCACTTCTATTGCCTGGATTCAGGCCACTGTTATCTGGACAACTGGAATGGCTCCTGGTCTGGCCATGTACTACAGAGCTCTAGCATGCATCCTATAGGACAAATATGGCCCCCAAACTCCTGAAAGTTAAGACCTTTCCAGGCTCTTCAGTAGCTCTGGTTGCTTAGCTTGGCTTGCAAAACCATCTGGGGCTGGTTCTTGCACCTCTGCAGGTATAATCTTCCCCAGGGTCTGGTGTCCCACAACTCGACAAAAACCTTCCTCAAGATCCTTCATGGGATTTTTTTCCCCTCTCAAAAAAGGGAATGAAATATTGCCATCTAACCTTGTTCCCTACAGAACCAACTTTCAGTGTCCCTGGATCCAGGGAACTACAGAGCAGCGGATGAATCAGAGACACCAGACCTTCCAGAGGCGATGCATACTGGCCTAACCTTGCCCACACTGGTCCTGCAACATACAGGCCATGATGCTCCTCCAAGCTAATGAGGTCCTGCCCTGCTTAGTCTCCATTCCTTAGCCATTGTGGCTACAGAGGGCATTCAGGGTCTGTAAAATCCCCACTCAGGCCTCAATGTGCCTGAGTCCCCAGGAATGCAGGGCACTTTGCTTTTGTCATAGACTCCTGAGGATGTACAATATCCTCAGAGAACCCCAGAGTCTGCAAGCACGTCTGTGTCACTTTGTTCCCATCACCATTTTCACCAGATACCTCCTTCCTGGCACTGCCAAGAACTGGCCTCTGAGGTGTTCTTCACATCCTCATCTTTGTAACAGGAAATTCATCCATTATACAAATATTTATCACTGTCTACCACCCTTTGCTAGGCACTGGGGACCCAGATAACTCAGACACAGTGACAGCCTGTAGGGACTTCACAGTCTAGCAGGAGTCCYAGACCCAGACAAGGATAATGAGAGTGTAGTGTGATAGTGCTAATAAAAGTCTGTGCATGGTACTACAGAAGGATTTTCTGCAGCATGTTCCAATAGGCATTAAGGAAAAGATTTCTGTGATCAACCGGGC